ATGCAAATGGATCTGAAAATGCTAATCATGTCGAGAATCATTATTTTTAGTTTCCTTCTTTATACAATTCCTGAATTAAAATCCAATATAAGCTGAAACAGGGATCATGATAGTTTTATTTGTATTGTATAATATGATTTTCAGTTTCCTTCTTTATACAACTCCTGAATTAAAATAAGTAATAAGATAAAAACAGGAATCATGATAGTTTTATTTGTATTGTAAACATTACTAGTACACATTACATTCCCGCTAACAATATAACATGAGTTTAGATATATTGACCTTCAACACGAAAAGCACAAAATTACTATTTTAACATTTATTTAATCATTGAATTCATATTTGTGGATGTAGTCGGTCCTATCACACATCTGGCCGTGCCGTCAAATTGAATATAGCGCGTTTTTATTGCTTTTATTTTGATTCTCTCATTTCCCTTTTCATAACTCTTTGTTTCGTTAATCTTTAATGTGAATTTAGCGCTTTTCAAAACTGGTGTGCTTAATAGATGTAAGAGCCGTTTATGACTTTGCAAAGTTGAAAAACACAAACGAACATTGCAAGAAAAAAATGACAAACTAATTTTAAACGCACATTTGTTGTATCTTTAAGTTACGTAATTTAACAGTATAGGTATACAGTTTTTAAAAATTAAATGGAGTCAAAACAACATACATTTTTGGTGTTCTAGAGTATTGAAAATGCATATAATTCCTACTGTGTATTCTAATGCGCGGTGACAGGGATTTGCGTGTGTTATATGGAGATTTAAACGTCATGAATTTCTAATTATAAAGAAAGAACAAAATAAATCCTATTCCATATATAACACCGTGTGATCTATTCATTTGTACCAAATAAGTACTGCAGTTTGGTTTACAACGACCTTTTTACGATAAAACATAATGAAACATATTCTTACATGTATTCATTTCTATGTAATTGTTGTTTAATACATTCTATTCTAAAGTCTGTAGCTTTTTTTATATCGCTGAATGGTTTTTGTCTAAGAGACTCTTTATAAGACTGTAAAGCACCGTGTAAATCTCCCACAACATGCTGACAGATTCCTAGTATCTGCCAGGATAAGTCTCTGGTAATTGAAGAAATATATCTCCCATCATGACAGAGTAACAGTGTCTGTAGGTCTCGTAGAGACTGTAAACACTGAAATCTATTACCTAGTCTATAGTGAGATAACACTGACAACATTTCTAACAATACAAATTGACATATTCTTAAAAGTCCAAATCCATTTTCTTGACTCACATTCTGTTCTAAACATAATTCTTCAATACAGGGGTTATTATTAAATAAATTCACATCATCCACCCAGGCTTTTCCCATTCTTCTAGACAAAGACAAATTACCTACAGCTTCATGGAACGTTTCCCTATCAACAGTGTCGTACATAACGAATTCCTGTGACAGTCTTTCTTTTGCTAGATAAGTTATGCGAACAGTCTTGTTATATCTCCTTGTGCTATGGTAATACAATGCCAGGTAAAGAAAATAAAACAAAGGACCCAATCTTGATGCCATCTTCAACATGCCACAAATAATTGTATCTAGAGAATAGACTGTGTACGTGAAACATAAAGTACTGTTTGTCATTATGAAAGATATACCTGCAAGAATCTGAACAGTACAGTACTGTAATATTAGCAACTGGTATGTTGAAATTGATAAATTTGACATCATGTTAATTGATTTTAAATAAAGATAAGAATCCCATGTATGTTGACCAAAAAAGTAAATGTAAATATTTCAGACATCACACACTTATCTTAATCTACAGTATTTAAGGAATGACTCTAATTCTTGGCCAAATTATTCGATGATAACCTGGTTTGGGTCAGTTTACTATGGAACGCCGTAACTGCCTTATGTGGACAACTTTCATTATATGCTGGTACTTTGTCATTTTTTGATGGTATTTTGTCAATATATGATGGTACTTTGTCATTATATGATGGTATTTTGTCATTATATGATGGTATTTTGTCATTATATGATGGTATTTTGTCATTATATGATGGTACTTTGTAATTATATATTGGTATTTTGCCATTATATGCTGGTACTTTGTCATTTTTTGATGGTATTTTGTCATTGTATGATGGCATTTTGTCATAATATGCTGGTACTTTGTCATTATATGATGGTATTTTGTCATTATATGATGGTATTTTGTCTTTATATGATGGTATTATGTCATTAGATGATGGTATTTTGTCATTATATGCTGGTACTTTGTCATTATATGATTGTATTTTGTCATTATATGATGGTATTTTGTCATTATATGATAGTATTTTGTCATTATACTACTTTTCATTATATGCTTCTACTTTTCATTATATGTTACTACTTTTCATTATATGCTACTACTTTTTCGTCAGTATTTGTAGTCATGCAGACGCTTGTCTCTATAACACAAATTCGCTGTTCCGCGATAGAGTGGAAGCGTCGGTAACGGGATTTTTCGCACCTATGCATGGTTCGAGCTGCGATGTTTTGCACCTATTCCGTTTCGCGCTGAGATGGTTCTCCCCACATTGTTGTAAAAATTGTGCTAGCCTACTTAAGTTCGTTCCACAAAATCTTAGATTTTAAACATGTTATATGATGTAAATTTTGCTTCGCGGATTATAAAGCGTAAACTGAAGCGGATTATAAAGCGTAAACTGTCCCAAACCAGGTAATAATCGAATAATTTGGCCAAGAATTAGAGTCATTCCTTATAATTTAATTTTAAAATAAATAAACAACTGTTAGTGTAAAATTGTGTTGCTTTTTATGAGTTCTAATTGGCCGCTCAATAATACATCCCTAGTAACGGAAGTGATATGAAACAAGAGGAGGTTAATAACTTATATACAGTTCTAGCAGCCATGATGTTTGTGTACACGAGGTTAAATCGAGCTACTGTTTGATGTTAAAGGTACATTTATTAAATCTGGAATTTCTCATGAATTACAAGGACAGGAAATGATGGGATTATTTGGATACAGATGATTCAGCTGGTTGTCAAGGGGATGTGTCCCCATACCGAACCAGGTTATTAAGAAATAATTTGCGTTCCTTTTTGGTAATCAACCAATGAGGGACTAGTATACAAACAAAATTAAATTATTTAAGAATTCTCCCTCAGCAAGAGATAACACAAAGAACGGGCTACTGAGGGCTGGTTCTAGGAATGATCTGAGAGTCGGACTCAGCAGTAGAAATGACTCGTTCATTCCAAAATACTAGTAAAGCTGTTGTAAAAGAGATACACATGCAAAGCAGACTACATTGTTAGGGAAATCCCTATAAACACAATGTATGAGATACTGGTATTTAAAAAGCACCCAAAAGCAATCCAGTAAATTTATATTTCGTTTGAAGCAGTTTTATTATAATCTAATTTACTTTAAAAACATAACTTTACGAAACCATCGTTCTCGCACATTTTTACAATAGGACACATTCGAAAAAAAGAACCAGACAACTTTCCATGAAAATGGGAAGTAGCTATTACTATTGGTAGTGACCAAAACTATAATTTCTCCTATATTTACGATAATTATGAATAGTTTCAAAATAATTTGAAAGAGAATATTTTCAAAAGTCCGTAACAGAGAAATTGTGTATGATTCATGGTACACACTAGTTGTTGCTCGAATTGAGAAAATAATATATATTCTCCATTCCAGTTCGTTACATGTAGGATTCAAATCAACTTTACTTCCAATAGGCATACAATGACATTCATGTTTTAGATTTTTTTCAAACACAGGTACAGTCACACAGTTGTGCCTCTGGCATCTATAAACCCAACTTGTGAAGGCCAAGGAAAAAGTGCTACACAGTAAGCAAGAAGCTAACATTGTACAAAATTAGGGAGAAAAGAGGACACTTGATTTTTACATCAATATGGAAACCAGAGGCTACTTATTTTGTACATCAATAGGGAAACCAGAGGTCATGTTATATTGTACATACTGGTGACTCTCGATGGCTCAAACCCCGATTTCTCGAAGTGAACCTCCGGTCCTGTTTTTTTCCCTCTATATAACTAAGCAAATTTACTGCTGCTCTCTGGTACTTCTATTTCTCGAAGTTTTGTATCTCTATAACAAAGACCTGGGTCCCGTGGAATCATCTTCAAGCAAGTAAATAATGTTTTTATTTCCATTGGGTGGGTCCAAAAGGCATACAAAGGCATAAATTACTGAATTTCTAAATGATAGTCGAACAATCAATGAATATTAATTATGTTGATAGGAATATAATTTTCATACAAATAAACATAAAAAATATATTACAGAATAAATAATACATGTACAAGAGACTAGTATTGTTATTTCTCATGATGCATTTTTTTTAAAACAGTTATGAATATAATATTAAAAATCTTTTGATAACATTTATCTTTTTTTTTTACTCATTAGCAACATAAACTTGTGTCTATTACATGTAGATTAATTTGATACAATTCTTTCAGATAGTATTTATAGTCTCTAAAAATGGTTTTCGTGAGGCCTGATATTGTGAACAATCAAATAAAAATTGTATTTCATCTTCTACCCAAAATGACTTAATGATAGCACATTTGGAAATAATTTCTACCACAAGGTTTCAAGATAAAGTGATCTGACCATAAATTTAGTTTGTAAAACAAATTCAAAATATCAGGATAACATATAAAAGAAAAATAGTTTGCTCTACAGAATCTTGATTTAAAGGGGAATATGATCTGAGCTTATCAATATGCTTCTCTACATATTGTCTAAAAGTGTCTTGCACCAATTGGCTTTATATTTTTCGCACATTCGCACAATGTAATTACAACACAAAGTGTAACACTGCATATACTTACTGATGAGGACCAGGGCAAATTAAACAAAGACATTCTTTTTTACCTATTTATTATGAACATGTTTTTGGTTAATTTTCTTTGTTGAAATTTCTGATTGTTTGTTCTTTAATTTATTTTTAAACATTGTGGTTTTTTTTATTTGTTCTTTTGATTCATGTAGGGTTCATCAGGCTGTGTTTTAAATTCTATTATCACTAACCAAAAGGAAATAGGTTTATGCTGATTTTTATTTTTTAAAAAAATGTCTGAAAGGCTCCTTTAAAACAGAAACTCGTCATATGTCTCAAAACAAGCATTTTTTCTCTTAATTTTTTCTATAATTTTGATAAGCCGTTTTACTTTTTTATGCTTTGCCCCATCGGTTGCACGATTGTTTATAGCAAAAATGCGATTCTCACACTGATTAAGTAATTCTTTGAATTCCGTTGGTGACGACTTTATGAATTCATCTATTGTTAGATTTTCCATTTCTAACTGGTCTTCGTGTGTCAGGACAATTACCAAGTAGTTATATACTTCCTTCCCGACGAGATTCACAAATTGTTGAATCGAGGAAAAAAATTCACTTGTAAACCTTTCAGAAAAGGGAATTACGTTTAAAACTGCGTGCGGCCCGGGTGAAATTTTATCGAATGCCCTCAGAAGTTTACATTTTTTTAAAACTTCAGAAGTGTACCCTATGGTATCTACAACAGTTATATTTTTTCCATGATTGAAAGCTTCTCCCTTCTCACATTTGCGAGTTGCACTTGAACCTGAAATTCCTGTTTTGAAATGTTGACAACCCATTAAACTGTTTCCAAGGCTATTTTTTCCTGATCCCACTGTACCAACTATGATAATTCGATAGGAATTCTCTACAAATAAAAAAAATCCAAGATCGATACATACAGGATCCATTCACTGGTATTTTTTTTCCCCAAAAAGAATTGTTTAGATAAATATAAATCTGATAGCAATGACGTGAAATAAAATATTGCAAGAAAAGTAGAAATGTCCTAACTTTTTCATAAATATGTATAATAAATGGACTTAAATTTCTTCACTGAGGTCGAAATACAAATGAGTCAAAATGAACCTGAATTTTATACAGCTCTTTTCGATCATCATGACCTGCTACTTGCTTGATAAACATGTATTTCTGATTAAAACTAGATATTTAAGAATATTCCAGAATGACAGTATCCGTACAGCCATTCTTTTTTTCGGTGTCTTTCTTGCAGAAAATATAATAAATACAAGAGGCCCAGGGGCCACAGCGCTCACCTGAGCACATCGGGCTTGAATTTACTCCCTCCCTCCAGGCGTTCATCATTTGAACAAACTAGAATCTACACTACCTGGGGATGATTCCATATAAATATCACTAATCATAGCTTTGAAGTACTTGAAAAGAAGATTATAAAAGGTTTTCTTATATATCCCTATGTAAAAATTGGGTCGGCCATTTTGGCCCCACCCTAGCCACGGGGGTCATGATTTGAAAAAACTTGAATCTACACTACCTGAGGATGATTCCACATGAGTTTCGTCTTTCCTGGCCCAGTGGATCTTCAGAAGGATTTTTAAAGATATTTCCTATATATTCCTATGTAAAACTTTGGTCGGCCATTTTGGCCCCACCCCTGCCCCGGGGTCATGATTTGAACAACTTGAATCTACACTACCTGAGGATGATTCCACATGAGTTTCATCTTTCCTGGCCCAGTGGTTCTGGAGAAGAAGATTTTTAAAGATTTTTCCTATATATTCCTATGTAAAACTTGGGTCGGCCATTTTGGCCCCACCCTTGCCCCGGGGGTCATGATTTGAACAAACTTGAATCTACACTACCTGAGGATGATTCCACATGAGTTTCATCTTTCCTGGCCCAGTGGTTCTGGAGAAGAAGATTTTTAAAGATTTTGTCTTATATATTCCTATGTAAAACTTGGGTCGGCCATTTTGGCCCCACCCCTGCCCCGGGGGGTCATGATTTGAACAAACTTGAATCTACACTACCTGAGAATGCTTCCACATGAGTTTCACCTTTCCTGTCTCAGTGCTTCTGGAAAAGAAGATTTTTAAAGATTTTTCCCTATATATTCCTATGTAAAACTTGGGTCAGCCATTTTGGCCCCACCCTTGCTCCAGGGGTCATGATTTGAACAAACTTGAATCTACACTACCCGAGGATGAATCCACATGAGTTTAATCTTTCCTGGCCCAGTAGTTCTGGAGAAGAAGATTTTTAAAGATTTTTCCTTTATATTCCTATGTAAAACTTGGGTCGGCCATTTTGGCCCCACCCTTGCCCCGGGGGTCATGATTTGAACAAACTTGAATCTACACTACCTGAGAATGCTTCCACATGAGTTTTATCTTTCCTGGCCAATCGGTTCTGGAGAAGAAGATTTTTTTAAAAATGCCATTAATTTTTAACAAATTTATGATTATCTCCCCTTGGAAAAGGGCGTGGCCCTTCATTTGAACAAACTTGAATCCCCTTCACCCAAGAATACTTTGTGCCAAGTTTGGTTAAATCGACCCAGTGGTTCTTGAGAAGAAGATGAAAATGTGAAAAGTTTACGACAACAACGACAACAACAACGACAACGACGACAACGACAGACGACGGACAAATTTTGATCAGAAAAGCTCACTTGAGCCTTCGGCTTAGGTGAGCTAATAACATTTTAGACATTACAGTCTCAATCGGATGACGGTAGGTCCCAGGTGAATTTTTTTTTTTTCGATGGCGACCGCCAAATAAATAGATCTGTGGCTCCCATACAAATAGATCTGACGGCCGCCACGACAAATAACTTTCGGCCGCCGGATACTTCATATTTTGAGCCCGCCAGCAACTTATATGGCCGTCGCAAAATAAAACAATAAGAAACAAAGTATAGAAATATGAAGTTTAAAAAGTTTACTGTATTCATTAAGAAAAAAGTCTTTACATTTGCAATTCCTGTGATAAGTCTAACCCACTTTTTTCACTGTACGGCAAAAACCGATTTTTTGAAAAAAATTCTCTCTTTAAAAATGTAATGATGACTTTAAAAATATTAAACGAATCAAGACGTTGTTTGGAATGGGGCTATAAATACCTTTTTAATAAAGACCGTATCATTTAACACCTTTGAATAGTGTCGAATACAAATAAGTCGATTCAGTGAAATGTAAATATTGGGATTGTGTATTTTTAAAAAGTTAGGAATGTAAAGACTAAAATACCCTATTAAATGTTGACGAAACTTGATCAAATTTACCTGTGAACATTTGTTTAGCTTCAAGTGTGGATGCTTCTAACAATTGATCTGTGAATGAAATTGCACTGTGTTGTGTACGAATGATTTTCCTCTTCAGTTGTCTCTCTTTTTGTCTGAAAATTAAAAGACTTTACCTGATTAGCTGATTTTCCCACAATAAAAAATTAACTTAAAAAATTTAGTTATGGTTGAAAATTGTTCAATGGCGTCTGATCAATTCTAAACTATCAGTCACTATCTAGCGATGGGGTATACGATG